AACCAACTTAGTAATGTCCTGAAAGATCTCTCCAATTATTATAAAGATAATCGTGTCTGACTGAAGCCTAACCCTGCCAAGACACAAGAGTGTGCTTTCCATTTATGTAATCGTGAAGCCAAAAGGAAACTGAAAGTTAGCTGGGAAGGCCAAGAGCTTGAACAGTGTTCCCACCCTAAATATTTCGGTGTCGAACACTAGCATTTAGGAAACAATGTGAGAACATGAAGCACAAAGTAGCTGCATGTAATAACATCCTGCGGAAACTTACTAATAGTGCATGGAGTGCAGACCCAAAATTAATAAGAACATCAGCCTTGGCCTTGCCTTACTCAACTGCTGAGTGTGCCTACCGTCTGACATGAAGCAGGTGAATATAGCACTAGAAAGACATGTCGAATAATCACAAGATGTCTTAAACCTACACCTGCTGATAGACTCTATAAGTTAGCTGGCATTGCCCCCCCCCCCCAAATGCGCAATGGGAAGTTGCTGCCAATTGTGAGAGAAATAATGCTGAACACTGTGAAAGCCACACACTGTATGGCTATCAGCCTCCTCCCAGTAGCCTTAAATCATGGAAAAGTTTCATGAGAACCACCACTTCTCTAAATGTTCTGCCAGCAACAGCAAGAATACCCCTGTGGACAGCCTAATCAGCCAATTCCAATTAGATGGTCCCCCACAAGGGTCTTCCTCCAGGGGCAAACCAAAAATGGGCAACTTGGAAGTCCATGAACAGAGACAGAAGTGGAGTTGGTAGATCAAAAGACAACCTGGCAGAAGGGCACTACCTAGAAGAATCCTCCACCTTTTGCGACTTTGGAGCAGAACAAACAACTCCGCATCTGTATGCTTGCTCACAATGCCTTGCCTGATGCACAGAGGAAGAACTGTTTAAAGCTACAGACAATGCAGTCACTGTTGCCCATTTTTGGTCTAAAACTATTTAGCTACTTGTCATCCTTTTATGTTATCAGTTTTAAACGTATTTATTATGCAATGTTTTTGACACGAAATAATAAACTTACACATTATGTCAGAAATAAATTAGTTTTTTTTCCCAGAAAAGGACACTATTGATATGCTTATGGTCCTGCATTAGTAATTAATATCTCTTAAAGTTCTGTTCATTTTTCTATTGTATGGTGGTGTATAAATAAAAGCAAGTAAACAGATCTACAACAAAATAAAAAACGATAACTTTAAAACATTTATGTATTTTGAACAGAGGTGTGACATATAAACTGTGAGGCCTGTGACACTAGATGTTTATGCTTAAATATTAGAATATTCTGTTACATTATCTTGAAAAAATTCTTAAGATCAGTTTGAAGGGATTTTGTTTTTATTTCCCATCAAGTGGACTTTGACGTATGGTGACTTTGTGTCTGAGAAACCTCCAAGATTTTTGTTTTAACTTCACCCCACTAGAGAATGGATCCACTTTAAATCTGGTTTCTGCCTCCTGCAGAATTCTGGGATTTTTAGTTTCATGAGGCTGTTAAAGGCTCTTCCCTAAACTACAAACCCCAGAATTCTGCAGGAGGCAGTAGCCAGATTTAAAGTGGATTTATTCTCTAGTGTGATGAGGTCCTATGTCTCTGTCTCCATGAGTATAAAACAGTGCATAAACATGTAACTAATGGGCATAATGCCCTACCACAACAAGCATGAAAGACCTACAAGCCAGATGTTGCTAAGGGGAAGCAACATAAATTAGAGAATTTCAGATCCATGTTCCATTCACCACTTCTTAGCAATTATGAGTTCATATTGCGGCAGTGGTTAGGGCATGGGCTGATAATAATTGTAGTGCAAGTACAGAAGTGCAGCATTTAAATAAGCATTGTCCTTCTGAAGCTTAGAGTCTAAACCCCAAAGAAATTACTAGGCAGGAACAGAGAGCTTGGAAAACTTTCGCTAATCATGTCTTTGGCAAAGCATTTTTGAATGTGGTTACATCATTATGACTGCTCTACTCGTAAAATGCCTATACCAAAATATCAGGATGGGTGAAGGGTAGTGAGAAATTTGGCAGCTTCTTACACCATCCTATGAAGGTCAATATTAAGGAATTCTAGATATTTGTTGGGATTTATTTCTGGAAAGGAGGCCACTCTAAAGTTTTTTCACCATCTACAATTTATTCAACTAGCTCAACTAGAACTTGCATAGATATGGGTCAGGGAGAAAATTAATTAAATGTTGATTTAAGTAACCCAGTGCAATTTTATGAGAGCTCTCTCACCTAAAACTTCCACCATGCCAACTTTCAACACCAACCTTTTGTAATTGCCAGTTTAGGAGTTGGAAGTTGGTCATGCCTCTTTTGTCTAAGGTGAATCCAATCCACTATCAGGAGGTGGTTTGTCTCCCTTCCCAAAGCTAAGACCTTTATTACTATTACTTTAAAAAGGAGTTAAGAGGAACAAATAAAATCATATTACTGCATTAAAAAACTCTCTTTTTAAAAGAAGTCCTCTATTCCCCTCAGTTACAACAAAGTACGTCCCAAAGAAAAAGAAAACCAAGAAGGCAAAATGGTTGTCTGCTGAGACACTGGAAGTAGCCCAAGAAAGGAGGAAAGCAAAAGGAAACATGATAAGGGGAGATATGCCCAGTTAAATGCGCAATTCCAGAGGTTAGCCAGAAGAGATAAGGAACTATTTTTAAATAAGCAATGCATGGAAGTGGAAGAAGACAACAGAATAGGAAGGACAAGAGACCTCTTCCAGAAAATTAGAAACATTGGAGGTAAATTTCAGGCAAAAATGGGTATGATAAGAAACAAAGATGGCAGGGACCTAACAGAAGCTGAAGAGATCAAGAGAAGGTGGCGAGACTATACAGAAGATCTGTATAGGAAGGATAATAATATGAGGATAGTTTTGACGGTGTGGTGAATGAATTAGAACCAGACATCCTGAGGAGTGAGGGTGAAATGGCCTTAAGAAGCATTGCTAACAACAAGGCAGCAGGAGACGACGGGATCCCAGCTGAACTGTTTAAAATCTTAAAAGATGATGCTGTCAAGGTGATGCATGTCATATGCCAGCAAATATGGAAAACACAAGAATGGCCATCAGACTGGAAAAAATCAACTTATATCCCCATACCAAAAAAGGGAAATGCGAAAGACTGCTCCAACTTCCGTACAGTGGCCCTTATTTCTCATGCCAGTAAGGTAATGCTCAAGATCCTGCAAGGAAGACTCCAGCAATACATGGAGCGAGAGTTGCCAGATGATCAAGCTGGGTTTAGAAAAGGCAGAGGAACGAGAGACCAGATTGCCAATATCCTCTGGATAATGGAGAAAGGCAGGGAGTTTCAGAAAAACATCTATTTCTGCTTCATTGACTATTCTAAAGCCTTTGACTGTGTGGATCATAATAAATTGTGGCAAGTTCTTGGTGGGATGGGCATACCAAGCCACCTTGTCTCTCTCCTGAGGAATCTGTACAAGGACCAAGTAGCAACAGTCAGAACTGACCACGGAACAACAGACTGGTTCAAGATTGGGAAAGGCGTACGGCAAGGCTGCATACTCTCACCCAACCTTTTTAACGTGTATGCAGAACACATCATGCGATGTGCGGGGCTTGATGAATGCAAAGCTGGGGTGAAAATTGCTGGAAGAAACATTAACAACCTCAGATATGCAGATGACACCACTCTGATGGCCGAAAGCGAGGAGGAGCTGAGGAGCCTTCTAATCAAGGTGAAAGAAGAAAGCGCAAAAGCTGGGTTGCAGCTAAACATCAAAAAAAACCAAGATTATGGCAACAAGAATGATTGACAACTGGGAAATAGAGGGAGAAAATGTGGAGGCCGTGACAGACTTTGTATTTCTAGGAAGATTACTGCAGATGCAGACTGTGGCCAGGAAATCAGAAGACGCTTACTTCTTGGGAGGAGAGCAATGTCCAATCTCGATAAAATAGTGAAGAGTAGAGACATCACACTGGCAACAAAGATCTGCATAGTCAAAGCAATGGTATTCCCTGTAGTCACCTATAGATGTGAGAGCTGGACCATAGGGAAGGCTGAGCGAAGGAAGATAGATGCTTTTGAACTGTGGTGCTGGAGGAAAGTTCTGAGAGTGCCTTGGACTGCGAGAAGATCCAACCAGTCCATACTCCAGGAAATAAAGCCCGACTGCTCATTGGAGGGAAGGATAGTAGAGAAAGTTGAAGTACTTTGGCCACATCATGAGGAAACAGGAAAGCTTAGAGAAGACAATTATGCTGGGGAAAATGGAAGGAAAAAGGAAGAGGGGCCGACCACGGGCAAGATGGATGGATGGCATCCTTGAAGTGACTGGACTGACCTTGAAGGAGCTGGGGGTGGTGACGGCCGACAGGGAGCTCTGGCGTGGGCTGGTCCATGAGGTCACAAAGAGTCGGGGACGACTGAACGAATGAACAACAACATTCCCCTCAGTTAAAATTCAATTCCCAACAACAACAAAAAATAATGGCATGGGAAATTCAAATTGTACTGTTCTTGCATTCTGGTTGCATTGGAAACCAGTTGTTTAAATATCTGACAGTTAATCATGGACTTGTTATCTTGTAACAAGAACTGCAGACATTTACTTCTTTTGAATGCAAAACTAATTCTCACTGACATTGTAATAATGACAGAAAATATTTTCTGCGCCTGAAAAGAACATAAAATGTGCATGTAGGCCCCCAAGGATATTATTTATGTTCCTCATTCTTTTTGGAGGATCACTAGCGTAGATGTTAAAGTACATAAATTCAGTAAAATACAGATTATGCACCGTTACTACTAACTGCTAATATCCATTTGATTTCCAAAAGAGTAGATCAATGTCCTCAATTTGCATTCACCAGAATTTGTGAAAGTGTTCAAACTGAAAAAATCAACAGTGATATTCCAAACATTTTTTGTTGTGGCCCCAGATAACAGCATCTCTCCCCAGGTTAATTCAGTGAATAAACACCCTAGCTAAACATCATTAATTATATACTGACCTTGAAGCTGGCGCCCTTTGAACAAATCTTTTGTTTTGCTTGGATGAGCTCTGGCACTGTTATCACACTTGGGTTGTTCATATCTGAAGGGAAAACGTTGATAAAAAAAGACAATAAGATAATGGCAATTTAATTTTAAATTGTATCATTTTCATAGCACTTCTCTAAAGTCATAGCTATCAATGCAAAACCAACAATTTTAAGCAAATGCTTGGAATCATAGAGTGGGAAGAACCACAAAGACTATCCAGTCAACCCCAATGTCTTTAATTATAATTCATGCCTGAAATAAGAATTGCTGTGCCTTTTCAGAAAACTGCTTTCAAAAGTGCTTGTATGGTTTAATAATATTCTCTGATAGTTTTCTCTGACTTGTCAAGTGATGGACAACTGATCTGTGGACCTCAGCACACAAGTAATTTTTAGTATCCTAGGATGCCTCTGCCTCAGTTGAGTGACAGAGCCCCACACTGACCATCACACAATGTACCCTCACTTACAACAGGGCTCTGTTGCTCAATTGGGTGACAATGTCCTAGGATGCTGAGCCGACAATAGGGTAACCTCCCTGTTTTCCAATAGGAACAATGGGGTTAACAATGGGGCTACTGCGCAGCAATACTTCCCCATGCGTGATGGGGAAGTATTACTGCCGTCCGTGCAGGATGCAGGGCACTGGGATTACCCCGATGCCCAGGCAATTCACTACGAAGGCATGGGGGACCATCAATGTGATGAAGTCCATACCAAGCTCTTTCATACAGTTTTCTTAGGAGAAGTCCTGTTTTTTTCTTTATTATCAGCTGTTTAACACAAATCCAGACACCCAGATCCATCATTTTTTCTAACCACTCCCTTTCCAGCCTTGATACCTTTTGGTTGGATTCACAGTAATGATTAGAGGAGAAGTAAGTGCACTACATTAATCCTAATTTCTCAAATCCAATTTCACTGGGTCTCCTGTAAGATCCAAGTATTGTTGCTGTTCTGGATTTTATTCTATTACTCTAGTTATCTACAAATGATACAAACCTAGTATTTTTACTGTAATGTTTACAAGTATAAATTACTATTATCTCTATACCAGATTGCCAGAATATATATTGTGACATATCATAATGAAATTTTATTTTAAGAATAGATACAAATAAGTAACCCATCATACCAGTTTTTGCACACCCAATACCAAGCTAAGCTAGGTTTCCTTAGTAGTTCAATAGAAGACCACCTAAATGAAATCAGATCCTATCTGATCAAGGAATCTAAGCAGGGTAAATTCTGAGTGGTACTTGAAAACCACTCAGAATAGAATGTGATCTATATTTCAGAAAAAGAAAATGGCAAAACCACTTCTGGGTATTTCTTGCCTAGCAACTTCATCACAAGATGAAAATTCAGTGACCTAGGATGCTTCTGCTCCAGTTAACCCACAGAGCCCCACGCCATCTATCACATGTCATAGCCTCACTTCCGGAGGTGCTCTGTGGGTCAACTGGGGCAGAAGTGTATTATGACACTGCACCACCAATACAGGGAGCCTCCTCATGTTCCATTTGAAACAGCAGGGCTACCATGGGGGGAAGTCATGTGGTGACGCTTCTCCTTGTATGATGATGAAGCATCAGCTGGTGGTGAGACGGGGTCCTGGGATTGGCCCGCTGCCCCCTGATTCACCACAGAGGCTGGCAAAGCAGAATGTTGGACCTCATCAATGTAATGAGGTCCTAAGAAAACCCTATGAAATTCACATGGTCAACACATAATTTGAAAGTATATGGAAACAGCTTTTAAATTTCCCCTGCAGTTTGAAATAATAGTAATTTTTTAAAAATGTGTATGCATGTGTGTTCATGGGGGGCAGTGACTTTCAAAGCAACCATAACAAATGATAGTGTTTGATACTATGCAAACCAGGAGAATAAAGAATGACTAAAATGAAAGAAATGATCACCGCCTCTAGTGTTTGATTCACCTTCTCATTGTCTGAGGGAAATTAACATTTCTGGGATTGGCCCGTTGCCCATCAGATACAAGCTGCTCCATGAAGGTGCAATGCAATTTCATGCTCAGGTGAGTATGTGTTTTGTGGGTGAAAGAGACACCTTTCGAGTAAGGAGAACAGAAGCTGTTTTGATGGAAAGCTCTGGATGAAGTGGGTAGTGATTGCTGATACGTGACCTCTTTTTATCGACCAAGTAAAGAATGAAAGAGAAATCTTTGAACTGGGTTTACTAATGTAGCATCTGGCATGCAGCCTGATCTCAGATTAATCTGATACTACCCTCGGCATTCTTCATCCTTCTCCCTCTGCCTCCAGTTTCCCTGCTGCAAACAGAATTTGATGCTTACAATTTCTCCTGTTGTTTTACTATATCCAGACACAGTGTAGATTTTACTGTAGTACAGAAAAAGACTACATCTTTACCACCAAAAACAATTAGCAAAGAGATATGAATTTCCTTTATTAATTCTACCCCCCCCCCCTTTTTAGAAGGTTCTAGCATCATCCATGTGATTCTCATCAGAGCTAGACCCACTTAGCATCAGAAATGGATATGCCATCAAACTTGAACCAGTATCCTCTAATTCAGCATTATTTCCACCAATGGACAATGGCTCACCAGGACTTCATATTATTTATTAGATGTACCTGGAGGTGTTGCAGATTGAACAACAGCCCTTCTGTAACATAAGTATGTGTTCTGCAACTGAGTTGCAGTCATTCCATTAGTGAAAGGCAGAAAATAATCTCAAAGAAGGAATGGCTATTTGGTTTTCTAGAATTTACTCTCCCAAAATACTGTTTTGCACAAGGAAAAATTACCATTTCTTCCTGCGTCAAGCTAAACATGCTGCTTTGGCTTCTAGTGAGCTTCCATATGAGCATTCCTAGAAAAGCCAAGCCCACATTGTTTCCCTTGGAAGGTGATACTTTCTCTGTCTGTTTCTGCTAAACAAAACTCACAATGCTTTATCGTGTTTTTGGCTCCACTGAAATTCATGAACTTCCAACTTACTATTTAACAACATGTTAAAAATACATTTTTTTTCTTTCTACTGGTGCCAACCCTGTTGCTCTATTGAAGTTAATCATGTGAAAATGGGCTGTGGAGACTGCTGTTTCTAGAAATAATGGAAACCTCTCCAAGACTATATATTTTTTCTTACATGGATACTGGCAGCTTTGCTTTCCCTGCTTTTTTTCCTTACCAGGCTCTTAGATATTGTTCTTTCCCATTTTCGAGATTGTTTTGTTTTGTTTGCTATACAGAGTGCTTTACAGTCATGTTTCTTCTTGCTTTAGCCCTATCAACATTACTCCAGTTTTGCAGAGGGGAACAGAGGTAGAGAGGTGGTGATTTGCACAAGGCCAGACACACACATAATGAGGTAAGCTGACATATGTATTCATTCTTCTGTTCTAAAAGCATGTTGATTTAACATTGATACACAAGTATATTGTTGAAGGCTAGTTTTACTTATTTAACAATTACATTCCAATCTCACCTTGCTTCCAGTAAGCCCAAGGAAGCACACAAGCTTCCCCCAATTTACTTGACAAGACCATAAGTTTAGTGAAGTTAACAGAATGATTTTCTATGGTTACCCACAACTGGCCCATGGCTTAGTAGTATTAAGACCTAGGCTACCTTTAAACTTGCCAAAATAATCCAGAATAATCCGGATACAACATGGGAGCACCCTAGAATGAGGAAGTACTCCATCAGTGTCTCAAATGTATGGTGAAGCGACAGCTCCCCTGGTGGCCAGAATACCCTCATGAAAGCTGAAAAGTTAAATAGCTTATGTGTGTCTGTCTATATATGTTGTGTGTCTATGGCATTGAATGTTTGCAATGTATATGTACACTGTAATCCACCCTGAATCTCCTGCAGGGTGAGAAGGGCGGAAAATAAATACTGTAAATAAATAATAATAATAATAAAATCAGACTCCATCCAGCTTGACCTAGCTGTCCACACATCAAAACTCTGTGGTAAATTGCATTTCCTTTTGTGCCAGATTACCCAGGGATTCACCGTACAATTTGGACAGCTTCTGCCCTTGGCATTTATTGGCAGGGATTTTCCAGCAGTGCATAAGAGCTGGAGGTTTGGGTGGCTGCAGTAAGCAGACTTCCCCTCCTGGGTTGCTTCAAAGAAGGCCCATCCTGTAGTAGAGGTTTGCCTTCCCTTCTTTTAGAATAAACTCTTAATAAATTGTTGCCTGGGTGAGTCTCACTCTCTCACTCTCCAGTCCTGATTTCTTGGCCAGAGAGGAAGGTTGCAGACAACTCCTTCCTTTAAAATAACGCTTAATGAATTGCTGTCTGGAGGGAGTCATAATCTCTCAGCCCGAGAAAGGCACATTAAAGGCATTAATGAAGCTCTGGATAGTAAAAGCAATGGTATTCCCCATAGTGACCTATTGATGTGAGAGCTGGGCCATACGGAAGGCTGAGTGAAGGAAGAGAGATACTTTTGAACTGTGGTGTTGGAAGAAAATTCTGAGAGTGCCTTGGACCGCAAGAAGATCCAACCAGTCTATACTTCAGGAAATAAAGCTCGACTGCTCACTGGAGGGAAGGATATTAGAGGCAAAGATGAAGTACTTTAGCCACATAATGAGAAGACAGGAAAGCTTAGAGAAGACAATGATGCTGGAGGAAATGGAAGGAAACAGGAAGAGGGGCCGACCAAGGGCAAGATGGATGGATGATATCCCTGTAGTGACTGGCTTGAGTCTGATGGAGCTGAGGATGGTGACGGCTGACAGGGAGCTCTGGCGTGGGCTGGTCCATGAGGTCACAAAGAGTCGGAAGTGACTGAACAAATAAACAACAACTGTGTTATCACATACTGAGTCCTACATTTTATTGCATGCCTCATGTTAGGAGTTAAACTTTGGCCTTGTATTAGGCTTAGCTCTTGCAATTAAAGTGTGTGTGTGTGTGTGGGGGGGGGGGCTCTCTTTCGTTCTAGGCCTCATGTTCAGCTTTATAGCCTTTGCCAGTATATTAGAAAGCTTTCATTTGGAGGTATCCACTGTGTTCAGACCTCATGTTGGGTTTCATGCCTTTGGACTGTTGTTGCCTCAGGCTGGGGCCATTCTGGAGGAGGTCATATGGTCTTCCCCTGTAATTGAGAGGTCATCCAGGTTTTGCCTGGTCAGGCTCATGGCCTAACAGACCAAAGGCATTAGATCTGGTCTGTTCTGGAAGCTGTACTGTCATACTGTATTGGCCTCAAAGCAAGACCTGGATACACTACTGGAAGTCTACATCTTCATTATGTGACTGACTGTCTGGTTTGGGGTGGGTGTCCTGGCTGTGGTCTTCAAGGCTGTATTTTCACCTCATGCTAGGCCACACGTTGTGCCCTTCCTGGAAGAGGCTGTTTGCTCTGCTTCCACAGTGGACACCATTTTCTACAGTGTTTGAGAGGGGTTGCCAGATCCTGCTTGCTCAGGCCCATAGTCTAACCCCCCTGAAAGGCACATAAATTAAGCAGTCCAATATCATAAAACTTTATATCTAGATATCATATTTTATGTGTATATTAAGTGTATATTGTAGTGCTATGTGTTTTATAGTCTGTCATTTGGTGTTAATTATCACCTTAAATTTTTCATTTGATATTTCAACATAAAAACAATTAAATTGGCAGTTGATTGAAAGTCATGGTTGCTCAACATGTGGCTCCTCATTAAAACACATAATATAATATTACAAATGTAATTTTTTAAGCCACAAGGCTTTTTGGCAATATAACTACCATATTCTTACCTACTTGTTTTTTAATTAGTACTTCTTAAGGACATGAATCAAATGCTCATTTTATATCAAACATGCTCAAATGCTAATGATCATCACCCATCCAAATTTCTTACCTTGTTGATGTACCAGGTATGGGGCGCCCCGTATCAACAAGGACACACCAACAGTATCCTGTGGAAGGATGACACTGCACTGGTTTGTAAAGGCCACCATTTGCACATTCTGGAATGAACACATTGTCCTTTTGAGGTTGTTTGGCTTCTTCTAAAGCTGATTGAAGTTCTTGGTCACATGATGAAGCTGCTAGGAAGAAAGATACTACACTTAGGCAGAAAAAAATGAAATGCTAACATACAGAATGGGTGCTGCCCAGCTTGACAAGAGTCCATGTGAGAAAGATCTTGGGAGTCTTCATGGACAACACGTTCAACATGAGCCAACAGTGTGATTCTGCAGCTAAAAAGGCAATGGGATTTTGGGATGCATCAAAAGGAGTATAGTGTCTAAATCAAGGGAAGCCATGATGCCTCTCTATTCAGCTTTGGTTAGACCTCATTGGAATACTGTGTCCAATTCCTTGCAAAACAGTTCAAAAGAGACATTAAGAAGCTGGAAGGTGTCCAGGGGATGGCCACTAAAATGATCATAGGTCTGGAGACCATGCCCTATGAGGAGCATATTAAATTGCTGAGGATGTTTAGCCTACAGAAGAGAAGGCTGATAGGAGGCATGATAGCAATGTATAAATATGTGAAAGGGTGTCATAAGAAAGAGGGTTATTTTCTGTTGCAAGAAAGAAGATTCCACCTGAACATTAGTGAGAACTTCCTGACTATAAGAGATGTTTGGCCGTGGAACTATCTGCCTCAAAGTATGGTGGAAGCTCCTTCCTTGGAGGCATTTAAACAGAGGCTGGATGGCCATCCATTGGGGCTACATTGATAGTGCTTTTCCTGCATGGCAAGGGGTTGGACTGGATGGCCCATGTGATCTCTTCTGACTCTATTATTCTAAAGAGCAATAGAACTGTATCCATCACCCATGGATGGATCAACTAATTGGTAGATCAGCCAAGATGCCCAAAAGCAAACAATCTAGAGTTTTAACAACATTACAAATTCCTTTCAGTGATGTCCATCCAGATTCTATCAAGATGTCTAAATCAACAAAAGCCTTTAATTATTTTTTTAATTATTTTTTCATTTGGAAAAAAAAGAAAAGAAGGCTTTTTCCGCAAAAAAAAAGAAGTGACATATGTATGCGGAGGGAACTCTATCCCACAACACGAATCATTGGGGCAAAGCAGTCCTTAGCAGAGAGAATTTCCTGTCCACCAGCTGTTTTCATTCATGCTTTCTTTCTTTTCTTCAGTGCAAATCAAGAATGCTTTGAGCAGCAGGGCTTTGGCAAGAAGTAGGATTTACCCAGCAGCTCTCTAAAGTTGTATTAGTGAAAGAAAAGCTGCATGTATTAACATAGTTTGTGACAGTATGGCCTGCCCCATGGCATGCACCCTGTTGACCCAAGAATCAAAGGGTAGGATTTCATCACCAACAGGCATTTTTCTGCATGAACTTTGACCAATTTTTAAAAACTTTTAAAATGGAAAAATAAAAGTTTAATTTAGGATTGATTGCTTAATTTGGAATATTCTAATTCATTCATATACTAAGTCTGAAGTAAAAGTCTATTTCATTTTTTCCCTTTTATATTAAACAAAAACATACAATATGTAGCCCTCAGTGTTGCCTTCTCATCAACAGATGCTGGTTCCAAATACATCTCTTTAAGACTAACTGAAATAAATTGATAGCATGAGCTTCCTTAGGGCCCTTCCAAGCAGGCTTTATATTCCAGGATCTGATCCTAGGCTTTCTGTTTTAAACTGGATTATATGGGTCTGCACTGCCAGATAATCTGGGACAATCAGAAAGCCCGGGATCAGATCCTAGGATATAGGGCCTGTCTGGGAGGGCCCTTAGACTGAAGTATACTTCATCAGATTCTTACATTACTACTTCTTTTTCTCAGTCTGAAATGAACTACAAGATCAATTTGCATACTGATCCAGAGTAGTTATATATTTGAATTCTAACTTTTCTAGGTTGAAATATTTCAAAGAAAAGAGAGGTTTAAATGCAAACAAATAGTTAAGTTATAGATAATGAAGAAATCCAGTTAGTCTCATTTTAATGTATGTAGAACAATGGTTCTCAAAGTGTGTTACATGGAACCTTGGGGCTCCATGGAGCATACTGAGGGATTTCTTGGTTCCCTCCTTCTCCTCCTTTCCCACAAGCTTTCCTTCCTCTTTCCAGCTCCTCCCCCTCCTGCTACCTCCCTCACCACCAAAAGCCTTTTCAACCTGTCCCCTTTGCTGATAAAAGTCTTGGCCCCCTTGCAGCCAAAAACCTTTATCCTCACCTCCCTTTCTCCCTCACCTTGCTTGCTTCCAAAGTTCTATGTCCCTACCATCACTCAGGGGTGCTTTGATTGTACTTTTCCTGCATGGCATAAGAGGGTTGGACTGGATGGCCCCTGTGGTATTTCACTGAAATACTGTTAAGTATTTCAGTGTTGGTCAAAAGGTTTTCCTTGCCTGATATATATACATTATATATAGCATAATATAACATATAAATATTTATTGGGGCTCCTCAAGAAGCCTTTGCTTCAAAAAGAGCTCTGTGGCTGAAATCCTGCCATGGGTCATCAACAAAAATAAATGATGCTGAGAAAACCATAAGAGAGTGTCATCATCAGTTCTTCTTTGGAAGTCTTGAAGCAAAGGCTAGATGGACATCTTCCAGGAGTGCTTCAGTTGTGTATCTCTGCAGGGTTGAATATTGCATTCACCCCCCCCCCCCAAAAAAAAACACCTCCCAGAAATCCCTCTGTGATACTATCTGAAGACAAGTCTGAGAGTAAGAGCCTTAATTAAACATTGACATGTAATAAATAACTCACACGTACACAAAAATGCCACAAGATATCAGAAGTCTGGAAAGTGAATAATTATGAATGCTTTAAAACAGTGTGATTCAAATATGCCTACAAATTAAATAAAAGCACAAATACCCTATACTGCTTCTATGATAAACTGATGGACAAACTGGTTTGTGATCTCCTCTTTCAAAGAATGTTAGTCATTCTCTTAGGGTGAATCTACAATGCAGAATTAATGCAGTTTGACAACACTTTAATTGCCTTGGCTCAATCTTGGGCATTGCAGTTTGGTGAGGCACCAGTATGCTTTGGCAGAGAAGGTGAAAGACATTGGATGATATCACATTAGTGTTTTAAAGTGGGGTTGCTTGCTTTCCTATCATATGGCTGCCTCTTGCAGAATTCTGGGAAATGTAGTTTCAGAAAGTCAAGGACCTTTCTGGTTGAGAATTCCAAAGGTCTCCCCTTTGGGAAAATACATTTCTCAGAATTCTGCAGGAGGTAGCCACGTGATAGGAAAGCGAACAACTTCACTTTAAAACACTAATGCGATATTGTCCCTCATAAAACTACAACTCTAATAATAATAATAATAATAATAATAATAATAATAATAATAATAATAATAATAAATCTCCTGATGACTTAAGGCATAATCATAAATGAAGCCTTAGGTTTCCCAATCTTGTCTTAAGTACAATATGTTTCTTTATCTGTTCTATCAGGATGTTAAGTGTACCTGTCAGAAACAAGATGGGGCTAATTAAAATAAAATGATCCATACACTCAGTACTTTTTATGTGATGCCAAACAGAATCAAGAAGCTTTTAAAAACCTGTGGTCTCCACTTCAACTGCCATGGCTCAATGCAGTTGAAGCACCAGTACTCATTGGCAGAGAAGGTTAATGACCTTGTAAAACTACAACTCCCACGATGCATACTCTGACTTTACTCTCAGAATAAATATTTAAGGCCTCCCACTATTACCCTAAAAGAGTATGGCATATATCCTAAAGTAAGACAATTTACATCAGTTTATCACAGAAACAAATCCTATCCCTTCCCTTTTCCTTGCAGCCACCTGTTCCTGCTGAGAAAACTATTTCTTCCATTGAAGCCTGAAGCAGAATACTTTTTTTTCTTATGCAAATGCTTACCAGTGTATTTCAAACTACAGAAAGAAGGGAAAGCTCCTCCTTGTTGTTCTTGCATTATATAGCTGGGCACCCAAAATTTAACACTTTGGGACTCTGGATGCATTCTTGTGGCCTAAAGGAATGCTGATAACTCTAACATACATTGATTGCCTTATGCTTTTCTCTCCAGTTGAATAAAAGAAGCTGATTATTTTGCAGATGTAATCATTTAGCTCAGTGGTTTCTTCTGGAACTGTAACACTGTTTATAAGGGCTGAGTTTTTGGAAATACATTGTGAACAAAAACATACCGGCAACAAAATGCTCCAGACCTCATGTTTACTTCTGGCTGATCAGGAATGGAATCAAAATGTTATCATATCTTTTACAAGGTTTCTCTGTTTCTATCTTTAGCACAGTTTTGAATCAGGCTAAATAAAAAATGTTTCCATGTATAAAATTCTTCCATTGCATGTCATCAGAATTTGAAATTTAAGTTATAGTCATGGAAAGTAAATTCATTTTGACCAGAACCACATAACTTATATGCAGTCCTCTAGGAATATAAAAAACTTTACAGTTTCACTACTCCACTGTAGCGCATTTCTTTTTTATTTTTTCTTTTTTTTTTTTTTTTTTTTTTTTTCTTTTTTCTTTTCCTTTTTTTTTGTTGTTCATTCGTTCAGTCGTCTCCGACTCTTCGTGACCTCATGGACCAGCCCACGCCAGAGCTCCCTGTCGGCCGTCACCACCCCCAGCTCCTTCAAGGTCAGTCCAGTCACTTCAAGGATGCCATCCATCTATCTTGCCCTTGGTCGGCCCCTCTTCCTTTTACCTTCCACTTTCCCCAGCATAATTGTCTTCTCTAGGCTTTGCTGTCTCCTCATGATGTGGCCAAAGTACTTCAACTTTGTCTCTAGTATCCTTCCCTCCAATGAGCAGTCGGGCTTTATTTCCTGGAGGATGGACTGGTTGGATCTTCTTGCAGTCCAAGGCACTCTCAGAACTTTCCTCCAACACCACAGCTCAAAAGCATCGATCTTCCTTCGCTCAGCCTTCCCTAAGGTCCAGCTCTCACATCCGTAGGTTACTACAGGGAATACCATGGCTTTGACTAGGCGGATCTTTGTAGCCAGTCTGATGTCTCTACTCTTTACTATTTTATCAAGACTGGACATTGCTCTCCTCCCAAGAAGTAAGCGTCTTCTGATTTCCTGGCC